AAAAAAAAACATTGGTGTAAATGTCTGTGTGTTGACCCCCATCCCAGATTAAAAGGAGAGTACTTTCATATAAAGAAATTGCATGTATGAGGAAATGAGAAAGGTCTCAAGGAGACATGTGTGTGATTTACTAAAGCTAGAGAGAGGAAGAAACAAAAAAAATAGATGATAGAAGAATAGGGATGTCAGGAGTCATTGCATCTGAGGTGCCACCAAGAACACTGGATAAAATTGCAAGTGAGACCAAGAAATTGTGGAATTAAATTTTTAGTGGATACTTGGGCATCCTGGAAATCTTGAAACATAATCCCTCTGGGATGCCACATTAGCCAGAATTCGAATTTCAAAATCAAGAAATAAAAATCAACCCATGCCACATCAAAAACTAAATTACAGTATGTAGAGAGAGAGATCAAATACACCTTATTAGTGAAGGGAGTAGAAAAATAACTCCTGCTAGAATAACTCCTGCTAGAACTAAGAGAGACTTGAGAAAGGTTTTGGGACTGTTAGGCTATTGTACAATTAACTTCAGCTGACCTAGAAGCTATGGAAAAATTAAAAACAGCACTTAAAACAGCTCCAGTTCTCTCACTACCTCATGGGAAAAAACCTTTCCACTTATTTGTAACAGTCTGTGATGGAGTAACAAAAAAGGTTCTTAGCTCAAAAATGGGGGAGTCTCTTAAAACCAGTAGCCTTCCTATCCAAATTAATTGGGGAGGCCAGTATGTATTCAAGCTATTGCTGCCACAGTTCTCTTAGTACATGGAAGAAGAAACACCACATTTGGGGAGGGGGCTTTGGTAGTTACAACCCAACATCAGATCAGGAACATCCTGCCTCAGAGATGGTTAACCAATTCTCGTATCCTAAAGTATGAGGGAATCCTCATAGAAGACCCTAATTTGGTACTCTCCACAAGCAATCATGTGAACCTTGCTCAATTATTGATGAGAGAGGGAATGAGCGAAGGAGACCAACATGATTGTGTAGCACTACTTTATAGATGGAAGTCCCAAAGTAGTGGAAGGAGAGATGAGATGTTGTTGGGGATCCCATGCTATGGGAAGGAGGGTTTGCCTAGAACTGAGTTAACAGACAAAATTGTGAGAAAATATATTCTTGAATTGTCCCAGTCTCTCTTTTAAGACAGAAAGGGGTCCTTGCACAAACACCAACTTAGACTTTGTTGTACATAAATTTAAGGCAGGACAGTGGGTTTTGATAAAATCCTGGAAGGAAGAAACTGTACATTCCTTTTCTATTTAAGACTGAGTGGTTGCTGATGTTATTTCCCCAACATAAAATAACAACCACAGAACAAATCCCACTGCTAAATTTACCTGATGTGCTGGTCTTATCATTGTCTTGAGACTGATGTAAATACTGAATGTTTGGATGGTGGGAGTTGGGAAATTACATTGAGTGAGGAACTTTGTATCAAACTTTTAATGGGACCAAAGTGGCCTAAGAACATGTGAACAATTTAGGAACCTTAAAAAAGCAACATGACCACCGGGGGGGCGGAGCTGGCATCTCGGCGGTACAGCGTGCGATCTTGAATCTCCATTGCAGGACGGTCCCACTGGACCTAAACCATCCTGTAGAGATGGTGACTAAGGAGGGCACATCCTGTTGATCCCAGGGACATTGCAAAGTCCCTGGTTGATCCAGGAAAAGCCCTTTTGCCTCCAGTGGAGAAGCAGCCATTTAAATTGCTGAAGCTGGGACAGCTCCAGAATGGAAGAGATTGAAAGAAAGTGTGGCAGTTTGGTGAGATGAACTTTTATTTATTATTTCTTGAAGAGAACACCCTGAACTTGGCAAAGCTTCTTAATTTTAAACTGGACTGGACCTTTTTTAATTTTTTTATTCTTGTTTGTATTTTCTTAACAATTTTTTGAAAGTCTGTTTTGACCAAGACTTCTTTTTGATGAGATTTATTTCCTTTTTAAAAGAAAGGATTTTATTTTTTCCTTTTGTTCCTGGCATTGGTTACATGAGGGGGGAGTGAAAGTGAAGGAAAAAAAGTAGCACTGCCATCTAGAGCAGGGGTGGGCAAACTACGGCCAGCGGGCCACATCCGGCCCGTTGGTCTTTTTAATCCGTCCCGCCGAAGATTGGTACAGAATTAAGGTTTGATGTGAATGATTGAATGATTGCATTCATTTGATTTTGACTTGTAATGACAAGCATTTCAACACCAGGTGGCGCATTAGGTGCAGTGACTTGATTTTGCGGAGCCTGAGCCATTTCCAATTATCGCTTTTCTTCTACTAGTCAGATCAGAACCCATCTGCAGCAATGTCAAAGAAAAGAAAAGTCGACAGTGAGTGCCGGGTGTTTAATAAATAATGGACGCCTAAATACTTTTTTACTGAAGTCCGGTCAAAGGCTGTATGTCTTATTTGCCAAGAAACCGTTGTGGTTTTAAAAGAATACAACATCAGCTGTCACTTTTCCACCAAGCATGCTAATTACGCCAGCAACCTTTCAACGCAAGAACGTATGGCTACCGCTCATAGGTTGGTAGCTAGCTTGCACGCTCAGCAAAACACCTTTATCCGAGCAACTTCCACCCAAGAAGCAAGCACGAAGACAAGTTATTTACTGGCATTCAAACTAGCAAAAGCCAGCAAGCCTTTCTCCGATGTTAAAGAGTGCATGGTAGAGACAGCAAGTATTTTATGTCCTGAGAGCAAGAACAAATTTGAAAAAATTAGCTTATCACGCAGGTTAATGACTCGCCGTGTTGAAATAATTGACGAACACATAACTAGCAATCTAAACAAAAAAGCGGAGTCATTTACATTATATTCTTTGGCACTGGATGAAAGCAATGACATAAAGGACTCCGCTCAGCTTTTAATTTTTATCAGAGGGATTAATTAAAATTTCGAGATAACGGAGGAGTTTTTGGCTATGGAATCCCTGAAAGGAAACACACGGGGAGTCAATTTATTTAACAGCATGTCAGCGGTCATACAGAGGCACAAGTTACCTTGGAGTACGCTCACCAACGTTACCACAGATGGATCACCAAATCTGACAGGAAAAAACATCGGGATGCTCAAAAAAATCCAGGACAGGGTGAAAGAGGACAACCCTGAGCAGGAGGTAATTTTCCTACACTGCATAATTCACCAGGAAGCACTGTGTAAATCCGTGTTGCAGCTTGACCACGTAGTGAAGCCAGTTGTGAAACTCGTTAACTTTATTCGAGCGAGGGGACTTCATCATCATCAGTTTATTCATTTTCTTGAAGAAACTGACGCTGATCACAGGGACTTGCTTTACCATTCTAATGTCCGCTGGTTAAGTTTGGGAAAAGTATGTCAACGTGTGTGGGAGCTCAAACAGGAGATTATTTCATTTTTGGAGCTACTTGAGAACACTGACAATTTTCCTGAGCTGAATGACACAGATTGGCTTTGTGATTTAGCTTTTACTGTGGACATACTGACACACATGAACGAGCTGAATGTGAAGCTACAAGGGAAAAACCAGTTTGTGCATGAAATGCAAGCAAATGTCAGAGACTTCAAAACCAGGCTAGTTTTATTTTCGAAGCAAATGTCAGACAAGTCATTTGCTCATTTCCCCACACTGGCTACGTTAAAAGATGTGAAAAAATATAGGAAATCACTGGATGACCTGCATGAAGAATTCTGCCGTCGGGTTTGTGATTTTGGAAAAATTTGACAGGCTGGTGTCATGTCCCTTCTCACAAGACCCGGAAACGGTGCCACAGGAGTTGCAGTTGGAACTGATTGATCTCCAATGTGACATGGTGTTAAAGGAGAAGTTCAACTCCCTGAAACTGGATGAGTTTTATGCTTCATTAAGTGCAGTCAAATTTACAAACATCCAGAAGATAGCACAGAGGATGCTGGTGTTGTTTGGCTCTACATATGTGTGTGAACAGACTTTTAGTGTGATGAACACCAACAAAGCACCCTGTCGTGTCCGGCGCAGGAAGGAAGCTCGGAGTCAGTGACAAAGTTCAGCTCTTTATTGTGCTCCAGTACATGCTTGAGAAAGGAAGGAAAAACCCCGGCTTTTTATTTCCAAGCCGTGGCGGCCCGCGGCCAATGACATCGTTTCGAATCTCCCGCTCTTGGCTC